ACACTCTGGCACCTAAGATTCGCGCTCACGCTTAGGACTCCCCCGCAGCTTCAGTATGAACCGAGATCTCGCTGCCCTTCGAGGCCCCGTTGAAGCCCTTCGTGGTCCCCTCGCTGCCCTTCGTGGACCCATTGCAACCATTCGTGGCGCCCTCGCTGCCCTTCGTGGCCTCGCTGCAGCCCTTCGCGGCCCCCTCGCTGCCCTTCGCGGCCCCCTCGCTGCCCTTCGCGGTCCCCTCGCTGCCCTTCGTGGCCCCCTCGCTGCCCGTCGTGGCCCCGTTGCAGCCCTTCGCGGCCCCCTCGCTGCCTTTCGTGGCCCCCTCGCTGCCTGTCGTGGCCCTGTTGCAGCCCTTCGTGGCGCCCTCGCTGCCCTTCGTGGCCCCGTTGCAGCCCTTCGTGGCCCCCTCGCTGCCTTTCGTGTCTCCATATATACATGCCTTTCGTGGCCCCCGCTCGTTCGCGCCCGTCGCGGCCCCATATGCTTGCGTTTCGCGGCCCCGATGTCGCCCCTCGTGGCCCCCTCGCTGCCCGTCGTGGCCCCGTGGCAGCCCTTCGCGGCCACCTCGCTGCCCTTCGTGGCCCCCTCGCTGCCCTTCGTGGCCCCCTCGCTGCCCTTCGTGGCCCCGTTGCAGCCCTTCGTGGCGCCCTCGCTGCCCTCCGTGGCCCCGTTGCAGCCCTTCGTGGCCCCCTCGCTGCCCTTCGTGTCTCCATATATACATGCCTTTCGTGGCCCCCGCTCGCTCGCGCCCGTCGCGGCCCCATATGCATGCGCTTCGTGGCCCCGATGTCGCTCTTCGCGGCACCCTTGCTGCAATTCGTGGCCCCGTCTTTGCCCTTCGCGGACCAATGCACGCATGCCCGTCGTGGCCCCCGCTCGTTCGCGCCCGTCGTGGCCCCCTCGTTACCCTTCGCGGCCTCGCTCTCGCCTTTGTGGCACCCCTCGCTGTCCCACATGACCCCGTTGCTACCCTCAGTGGCCCCGTCGTTGCCCCCTGTGGCCCCGCATATCTGCCGTTCGTGGCCCCAGCTCGTTCACGCCCTTCGTGGCCCCACGCGCATGCCCTTCGTGGCCTCGCTGTCGCCCTTCGTGGCCCCCGTCCTGCCCTTCGTGGCCCCGCTGTCGCTCTCGCTCTCGCTCTCGCTCTCGCTCTCGCTCTCGCTCTCGCTCTCGCTTTCGCTCGCCGTCGTCGTCATCGTCGTCGCCGTCGTCGTCGTCGTCGTCGTCGCGGTCGGTTCACTGTCCGTCCCTCTTGGGGTCGGGTCACCGCCGATAAGCGCTAACTCTGGCCAGGCCGACGGTCCGCGGCCGCCCCGCCGCTTGCCGGGGCCCTGCCTGCAGGGAAAAAAGATATACCCCCCAAAAGGGGGCACGATCGAAGACGACGAGGGCGGGTATCGAGGGTTTGGGGAATACACGTTGAATGACACTCGCGCAGAAAAGAGCGAACAGTCTCAAAATGATTGTTGTTGTTGGTGGTGTATTCATTGTTGTGGTAGTGGTGATAGCCGACCATGGGCAGCGGCGCATTGGCTGGGAGCCGTTTTGATGCCACGGGCACTGCCAAGAGGGCTTCAAGGGGGCCCCAAGAGGCCAACATCGTCGCAGTCTCGTGGGCAAGCGTACACGTGTAGCCAAGGGGCTCCGCCAACAGGCTTCGCAGAGGCCCCGAGGAGGCCCCAAGACGGCCCCCAGAGGCCCACGAGAGCCCCACGAGAGCCCCAGGAGGCCCCAGAGTGCCTCCCAGGGGGGCAACGAAAACATGGAAAACGGGGACATGCAAACTAAACTGGGGAAGACCGCCGAGGCACCCGCCCTGCCAGGATGAAGCATGTTAGCCTTAGTTCAAAAAACCTCAAAAACCCAGAAGCA